TTGTCTCAAAGAAGTCTAGGACTCCTTTTGTAACATCCTCTCCAATAATATGCCAAGTTCTCCTAAAGAAACCCGAGGAAAACCCATCTGGCCAGGAGCTTTATGAATATTCATTTGAAAAACTGTTTCCCGGATTTCTTCAGCAGTTATTGTCTAGCAGAGCAATTCCTTTACTTCCTTAGACAACTTCCTATGAATAACCTCTTTCAAGAAATGACAGTCAGGCTGAATTTCAGAGTTTGCCACACCAAATAGATTTTGATAGAAATCTACTGTCGCATCAGCCACTTTATCAACTTCAGTAATAACTTCTTCTATTTCAGTTCTGATTCTCCTAGTAGCTCGCTTTGCCATTCTGATTTTCACTGATTGATGGAAATATCTAGTGCTCTTGTCACCTCTGTTAAGACCCTCTTCTCTAGATTTTTGCCAATACAATCTTTCCTCTGCCTTCTTTGCATCTTCTAATTGAGAGGACACCATTTTTTCGCCTGTAAATTCTCAGCTATCGGGCAGAGAAGCAATCAGCCGCTATATGTATCAACTGCCTCTCTAACTCCTTCACTTGGGAGCTAATATTAGCATAGTGCTCCTTGTTTAACCTTATCAGAGCCTTTTTTACCTCTTTGAGTTTAGTCTGCACTATAGACCAAGGACTACCATTACAATGAATGGACCAAGCCTCCTCCTCCACAATATTCTGAAACTCAAGATGGCCACTCCAAAAATCAAAATACTTGAAGGGTTTAGGGAGAGATTTCTCAGGAGGCTTAGCCTGAACTAAGATACCACAGTGATCCGAAAATGTGCCAGGAATAGCTTCGATAGTACAGTTAGGGAAAACTGTCATCCAGGGAACATTCACCAATGCTCTATCCAGTCTTTTAGCAATCGGATTGAGCTGCTGATTATTCACCCATGTAAAAAGAGGACCCAGAGTATTAAAATTCTCCAGTTCCATATTGTTTCGCCACCCCTCAAATCATACATACTTGGTGTAAGAAGCATTTGATTAGAAGCTTCACTTGGTTGCATAATTGCATTGAAATCTCCTCCTACTATCCAAGGTAAATCATCAACTTTTATTCTACTAATTTCAACATAAGTTGTTCTTCGTTCCAACTCGTCATTGGCTCCATATACTGCTGTTAAAAAGAAAGAATCACCTCATTGCTCCTTGATCAACACGTGAAGCAAGTTTTTACTTGGCTTTAGAATACTAACTTTAAACTCTGGTTTCCAGAACAACCAGATACGGCCTAATCTGATTCACAGTAGTTTAGATACCTTTCCCAACCCACTAAAAAACTTTCAGAAATCTCCTCCGACTTTGCTTTGTGCACACGAGTCTCCAAAACAGCCACTACACTAACATCCAGACGCCTCAGGACTTGTGTAAAGTCCTGTCTCTTCGAGGATTTATTAAATCCCCGAACATTCCAAAATAGAAAAATCATGGCAAGGAGTGGGGCTGGAGACCCGCCTTCTTGTGGCCTCTCTTAGGAGCATCTTGTAGTCGAACAACTGCATTACCATCTTGGTCGGCAAGGACACTGAAGGAAGACGGTGAGATATGTAAATCACTGGTAGGACTTGGAGCTAGTGACCAGATTCTAGCTTTCACCCCATGGAACACTCTCTGAAACTCAGCTTCAGTAGGTAGTTGTGGAGAAGATACCGCTGACAGTGGCTTGGGTGAAGATACCTCCGAAAATGAAACATCGAGGTTTATCCCCCCTATGGTTATTCTTGAAGAAGAATCCAGAGAGGGGGAGGTTAAGCCCAGAGAACCCTTGTCCTTATTAGGTGCATCATTAACAATCAAAGGGGCAGGAGAGACTAGGAGAGCATCCACTTTCTCCTTTCCTTTAGCATTCTGCTCGCCATGATGCCCTGCCTTAGAAACCCAGACCTTTTGTCCCGGAACTAGACCACAACATTCAGTTCCAAATAACATGCAGATTGGGCAAACTAGCGGAAGATGGCAATATTCAACACGAACATGGATCGGGAGATCATCATCAGGCCAAACAGTCACTGTTTCTAGGAATGGACCCTCCGCATGCACTTCAACCAACCTTAGCAAACCCCATCCTCCTACCCAGCCACGTGGTATGGTCAACACCTAGGGGGATGCCAACCCAACTTCCAAATCGACTCAGCCCCTGAAAATTCACATACTCAAGAGGAACATTCGACAGTTTCAGCCATATTGGTAGTGCCTTCCTGCCTAAATCCTTTGCGCTAATGCCCGGAATCCAGGGACGAAGATATAGTGATATGATCCAAATCCGAAGAGAACCCTCGAACTCGGATGATATGACCGAAGTACGCAGCCTTCCTGCTTTTTAAGGACTTTCGAAGTTTTGCTCCAACTTGAACAACTCGAAATAAAAGGGATAGATATGGAACACGATAAAAAAGATTCCAACTCGTGTGAAAGGACAATTGGTATATGAAACCAATCAAACAATCACCCACTCGTGAATAAGGCCAATCGCTATTTGGTAGATGCTAGCCACAACTAGACGCGTTCTCTAGTTGATAAAAGACACATAAAACTCTCGAAAACTCTGGACAGAAGCTTGCACTAACGTTCACAAAGGAACACGAGTAAAAATTCTTAATTGATAACTGAAATCTTGGGTACAAAATTTATAGCTCTTACACGATCTATTTATAGAGGTCACAAAAACATAAATCTAACCTAAAAAGAATAGGAAAACAAATCCCAAACAACCTTAGAAACATAATACTAATTAAATAAAAACTACAACTACTAATTAAACTCCTATATAACAAAAATAACAAATTAATTCTACAATTGCGACGCACCGCTGCAAGTTTCCTTCTCCGAGGCGGAATAGAAATTCCCGTCCGCCAACTGTCTCGGTCCATTTAATTCCATGACAGCTCGCCACCTTGCCATTACCCACCAACCAATCCTTCCATCTTCACGAGAGCTTGCACAGACACATTCCTTTTCTGATGAATTGGATATTAATTAAGCAAACAAATTGCTTTTTCTTTTCACGTCGCCATCCAAAATCCATGCAACAATAATTTAATCACCTAATTACATCATGCATAATAACTTCCATGCAGCTCAAGTCTTGTGATAGATCATTAATTGCACATATTATACCTCTATTCTTGAGCAGTTAGAGAGTCGATTCTCGTGTTTCAAGTCAATTTTACGCTAGATTGTGTGTTTATGTCGTATTTCAAGACCTGGTGTTGATGTAAAGGCAAAGAAACGAATTTCGGTTCAAAAAGGAGGACACGGGAGTGAAGAGAGCTGGAAGAGCAAAATACCCGGCCTGGAGTTAAAAATACCTGGCCAGGTAAAATGCAATAGGAGGCCGGGGAAAACTATTTTTGGACGTCAAGAAGGTAGAAGGGGGCCCGGCCTGAGTGCAAAAATCCCCGATCGGGTATTCTGGACCTCGATCGGGTATTAACCCCTTTGGTGCTGCGCTGCGTTTTAAAATCCCCGGTCGGGCACCTGAAATACCCGACCGGGTATTATGGCCGGGGATCACGAGCAGTTGGTTCTTAAGGAAAAGAAGGCCAACTTTTGAAGGGTTCCGAGTTTTAGAGAGACAAAGCTGATACCTAGAGAGAGAAAGTGACGAACCTGATTCTAAGTTCCCTAGATCGATCTTCATCACCATTGGAGCCGGACTTCAGCTTTGGAGAAGTGCTGATTGATTGCCAGAAGCAGAACCTCATCCCTCACAGTATGGTTTCCGCATCTGAGCTAGATTTCCCTTCTCTCTCTATGGAGTAAACTTTCTCATTCACCTGGGTATGAAGAACTCTAGATTTGTATGTTATGTCTGATTGTATGAACCCAAGTACGAATTCAGTGATATGATTATATTCAATTGAGGTTTGATTTCTTGAATGGGAAGAATCCTGATCAAATTCATGTTATTTCCGCTTTGACCTAGAAAGAGAGTATCTGCCTAGGTTGATAGAGCACCCTTGATTGAAGGTAGTGAATTGACGACTTTAGTTAGTCGAGGAGTCAATTCACTATTATGTACCTGATCTACTTCGGTATATGAGGTTTGGTTCGTTAGGGCCTCAATATGTTTACTCCGGTGGAGGTTAGTTGCCCGCTGGGGACTCAAATTGAGAGGGTCTGGAGACCTTTAGTTGAGACTGCAGACTGTTTAAGAACCTCCCGCAATATAACTATCATTGAGCTTGAACTTGGTGAATTACAACCTGGCTTAACTGCAGTCTAGGGGGATCCATATCTGGGTGACCTCTCTCAACTTGAACACAAATTTCACTGCTTTGCTTGCTAGTTTAACTAAACCTTCACTACACTAGAACCGCTAAATAATAAGATTTTCACGGAGTAGTCATCACACCTAGGACCCGGGTTGACATTTAGAACTGAACCCGCTATACTACGCATTAGTAGGTGGTTGCACTTGGCCACTTTCTAGTGTGACGGTAAAGGCGTGTCATCTTGTACGGCACAACTGATCTCATTTTATCCATCAAGAATGCTCCCAATTGATCCTTAAATCGTCGAATTCGAATTTTCATTTTTGGACTATGAGAATTAAATATCGCGCTAGTCGATATCGCATCATTTCGTCTCTCTTGAAGAAGATTCGCCCTCGAATCTTTATAGAATCTCGATCTCTGGTCAGTGCTCTGCTTCTTAGTCTTTGAACTAAATTGTCTTGGTAGCGAGGATTGCATCATTCCCCCCTTCTTAAAGACAATTTGTCCACGAATTGTTGAGACTCCATTTTGATGAACACCTTCCACATAGTTCTGCAATTCTTGTCGCTTTTCCATGCGTGCTCATTCTTCGAAAATTGCATCGTCAACCATGAAATCAATATGATCATATTCTGGAACAATTGATGAATCCCCTAGAATGTTCATGCATTCATTTCCTCCATTGATTTCTGGTTTCGCCATGTATTGCTCACAATCCGGCGCACCCAAAGTTGGTTCATCAACAAGAACATCTTCTATCGCCTCCTCATCATCAAAATTCTCATACTCTTCACAACAAGTACCGAAAAGTGGACCTTCCATAGGCGAGATTCCAATATACTCCTCCTTGTCTTGATCTTGCTCTAAATTTGGATTCCCTATTGTCAAAGGAGCTTCGGGTTGGATTACCATTGTTGGAGCATTAATCCCCAACAAAGCTTCCAATCGAACAAGTTTGGTGTCCCATTGTTCTTCCAATCGTGCTTGCCCATGAAGAATAACTTCGATCGTCGTGAGCGCTTGCTTCATCGTCTCCACCAATCTTTGACCTTGCTCTTTATTGATTTTCAAAGGCTAACGGGAACAATAAAAAAAAACAAAAACCAAAACCACAAGACTATTTTTTTTCTTTTATCCCACGTATAGCTTTGTGGTTGTATAACTTTTAAATTTTAATTTATTTACTTTTACTATTTTTTGCACGTGAACAGTGCACGAAAATAAAAATAGATAAATAAAACACAACTCCTTTTTTTTCACGTTACCCCTTTATTTAACCTATTTTATTCCTACTTTCTCAAGCAACAACTCTTATGTTTTTTATTTTCTTTTTTCCAAAGTTTCACGTAATGACAAAAAGATTCCTACCGCAAACAAACTTTAACATTTTTTCCACACCTAATTCTAACGTACAAACTAAAAATGAAATTGACCCTTTTCTCTTTTTTTTTTAAGTAAATCTGAAGAATAAATACCTTCTTTTTCGCCGCTGAGTTTGAACCGATAATCTTCAAATCGCCTCTGAGTTTGAACCGGTAATCTTTAAATCGCCGTTGAGTTTGAACAGGGCTCTTGATACCACTTGATATGATCCAAATCCAAAGAGAACCCTCGAACTCGGATGATATGACCGAAGTACGCAGCCTTCCTTATTTTTAAGGACTTTCGAAGCTTTGCTCCAACTTGAACAACTCGAAATAAAAAGGATAGATATGGAACACGATCAAACAGATTCCAACTCGTGTGAAAGGCCGATTGGTATATGAAACCAATCAAACAATCACTCACTCGTGAATAAGGCCAATCGTTATTTGGTAGATGCTCGCCACAACTAGACGCGTTCTCTAGTTGATAAGAGATACGTGAAACTCGTGGAGTCCCTCGACAGAAGCTTGCACAAACGTTCACAAAGGAACACAAGTAAAAACTTTTAATTGATAACTGAAATCTTGGGTACAAATTTCGTAGCTCTTACACCTTCTATTTATAGAAGTCACAAAAACATAAATCTAACCTAAAAAGAATAGGAAAACAAATCTCAAACTAACTTAGAAACATAATACTAATTAAATAAAAAATAAAACTACTAATTAAACTCCTATATAACAAAAACAACAAATTAATTCTACAATTGCGCTGCACCGCTGCAAGTTTCCTTCTCCGATGCGGAATAGAAATTCCGGTATGCCAATTGTCTCGGTCCATTTAATTCCATGACAGCTCGCCACCTTGCCATTACCCACCAACCAATCCTTCCATCTTCACGAGAGCTTGCACAGACACATTCCTTTCTTGATGAATTGGAGATTAATTAAGCAAAACAGATTGCTTTTTCTTTTACGTGGCCATCCAAAATCCATTCAACAATAATTTAATCACCTAATTACATCATGCATAATAACTTCCATGAAGCTCACGTCTTGTACGGCACAACTGATCTTATTTTACCCATCAAGAATGTTCACAATTGATCCTTAAATCGTCAAATTCGAATCTACATTTTTGGACTACGATAATTAAATATCGCTCTAGTCGATATCACATCATATAACAAATTATGGTTGTGAAACCATAGCCCATTTTCCAGAATCCAATCACAAGTATCTTGCGAAGGCAATTGTATCAGTATCAGATTCTCACACAGAAGCGAAACACGAACCTGACCATCCCGACCCCAGAGTTTATTCGCCTAGCGTCGAAGAACCAACAAGGGAGGAATGTCCTGCAGAAATTGACCAACTAGGCAGTGTTACCATCGAGCAGCTCCTTCATCTCTGACTATCTTCGGCATCCGCAACCCACCATTCACAATTTCGGGTTTGATATAACACAATCGAATTGCTTCGAAAATTCCAAATAAGCTCGCCCATGGCTTAGTCGGTTGTAGATCAGATGATGAATTCGACGATGAGGCCATGAGTTACAAATCACTCAAGAAAAGAAAAGAGGGGAAAGGAGGTGGCACCGGCGAAGATGCCGGTGCGACGACAAGTGTCGTCTGGCGAAACCCTAGTCACCAGTTCTCTCTCGCACTACTCTCTCGCATTATTTTCTCGCACTTTTTCACCCGTTCCAAAAATTAAATCAATTATTTGCCAAAATTAAAATATCATTTTTCTGAATTTTAATATACCAAGGTTATTAATTTTAGCTAAATCGGATTCAAGTTGACTGTTTTTCATGAACACACTTCCAATACTCTAAAATTCACATCATTGCCAATAATACGAAAATTCTTATTTGTCGTCACCTGAACTGCCCACTATACGCCACAAGTATTAAGTTATGCTTTGCTATTCGTCGCCCTACTTTTTACTAATCATCGCCCTAAAAGGATGTAAAAAGTCCAAATGCCATTAATGAATGTTATATTCTTTTGTTGAGAATATGATATTTATGTTATGAGAATATGATATTCATTAAGAGTATTTAGGACTTTTTACATAAACTTAGGGCGATGATTAGTAAAAATTAGGGTGATGAATAACCATCCTCATTAACTCTAGTAAAACTAACATCAGAGCACTGAAATTCTGAAAAGAAACAATGCAGCCCCGCCTAAGGGATTTGGATCAAGTTCATTAGAGCATCGTCCGACGAGAAAACCCCGAACCAAAACCACTTGTTATATTTTCCTTCCACTCTCGTCACCAACTGCTGATTTAGGTCCAGTGTTCTTCCCTCCTCACCTCCCGGCAAAATCATGGTAACTGTCTCGCTCCCCCTGTCTTCTAATAATCTATTAGATTCCAGTTTGGACCCATTTGCATTTCGATTCCTCTTCTCCACTTCGTCGCCATTTTTTGGACACGACTTGCATTGAGGTCGGAGTCGGGACATATGATTGTAACTCGTTTGCGGTTGTTCATTGATTCACGTTCAATTTGGGAAGACAGAAAATATGTTCGGCATGTGATGGGTTTGGCTAACTTGGGTAGCGTTTGTGTTACTTCCTCTTTGGGGACATTTCAAATCTTGGAACTCGTCCCCATTGTTGTGGTCTTTTGGGGTCAACGAAAGTTTCTTCCTTTCCGGTTTAGGAATCCCAAATTTCTTATGGGTCCTTAGCTTTCTACTTTGGATGTTTGTTATTTCTAGAATGCATATGGAACAAAGACCATTGAAATGGTTAAATCGGAAAAGAAAAGGATGGCATTTTATGCTTGGTAGCAGCAGTTGCATTGAGCTTTGTTTAGATATGTGAAATATAAGTCTTAAGTAGCAGAGATTATCTGCATCATTCAGAACTTGATTTATGCTAAACCTTTTTTTTTTTGGAAACTCAGTGTTCTCTTTTTGTTAATCAAGCAGGAGCCGAATAGAACTTGGAGCAAGCATTTCCTGTTGTTAGTGTATCAGAGCTTTGACATAGTGTTTGGAGAATTGGCCACTTCCCCTCTTTATGTCTATAGAAGTAGGGGTGATAATCAGTGTAACATCCCGTTTCGACAAAACTCGTATTACGGTTGCTAGAAATTTCACGATTTAAAATCGAGTGTTTTGATAGTATTTCAACAAATTGACGTTTTAGTACGGGAAGGTTAAACCGGTGTTTGAACGACCAGAACTGGTGAGGGATTAGCACGGCATACCGGGTTTGTCGTATCACGATAATTATATTGATGATTAGAATTGACCTAGGTGAACTAGAATGACATGATTAGGGGTGTATGAACTTTTGTGCTATATGTTGAACCCTGGACTGCTGTATGATATTATTGACTTGCCCTAATCGATATGGACCTTGTTTATGCTGATGATTGCATACATGTTGCCATTTGTGCCTTAACTGTTGATATGGCTTCATGGTTGTTCGATCAGGTGTTTTGACATGATGTGATTTTGTGGTTGTATTTGGATTCACAAGTGGGGAAATAAACTCCCCAGGGTGATATTATGATGTTTTAAGGAGGATGACTTGCACGAGGGTTTACCCCGAGGAAGTGCAATTATACGACTCCTGATTTACCTATGTTGAGCCAATTGTGGCCAGGTCAAGAACATGTCCAAGTAATGAATTATGATTAAGCAAGATGAGATATGAATCATGTATAAGGATACCAAATATGAGTGTTGTGATCTCACGGTCAACTACATAGTAATTAGGGCTCCCTATGCTATTACTCTATTATGATATGTATGATAGTCACACCTCTCATGTGGTGGTGACTGAAGATTTCTTACGAGATATGACCACACCCAGAGTGGTGTCGGGGTATGACTACACCCATAGTGGTGTGGGGGTATGTATGACCACATCCGACGGGATGTTGGGGTATGTATGACTACATCCGACGGGATGTGGGGTATGTTTCCCGGGAGAGTTATTAACATTGGAGTAGCCAGGCGCCTATAAGTAAAACATGATAAGATGCATATGCATAAGTCAAGGTGGTTGAGTCTTTTGCCTATTGGGATGTCGGATGCCTGAGGTCTGATCCTAGTGCTTTGGCTTGTTTGCTAGATGTATGGTAGGGGTATGCTCTGTTATGAACTCACGATGCTATGATTATCTCACTCAGCTATGAGCTGACCCTCTTTATCCTTTTTCTCTGCTTATGCCATGTGTAAGCATATCATCATCATCAGCAGCAGTAGATAGGTGTATAGGTGGGAGCTGAGAAAGAGTTGAAGGCAAGATGAGGTATGGTCTTCAACTATTCTGTGCTTGGACTACTACTCGGGATTTTGGCCAGTGATCCACACCTTTTTGTAAAAATGTTTTGAGAACGTTTTTCATGTGCATACTAGCTTCTGATGTAGAGTGAGATATCCACAGGTGTGGGAAGTTGATGATGTGTGTATATTTGTGTAATTGTGTAAGTTTTGATGATTATGGCATGTATAAGTATGGTATGCATTTGTGGAGTATGAAAACTGTGACTATGGCTATGAAAGCCAATGTATATGGTTGTGAGTATATATGTATGTCTATGAATGCATATATTCGTATAAATTATTTTGCAGGTCTAGTTGCAAGAACTGTTAGCCCATTACACGAGTAATTTATGTCGAAATTTTATTTGGGTAAATTTAGTAATTAATGTAACACCCGAGATTATTTCTGCTGCAATTGTATGAAAAATATGATTAGGTAATACGTATAGGGTAGGGTGTTACAATCAGTTGTCGGTTACACGGTTTAACCGAACAACCGAAGCGAACTGTCGGTTACAGACCGAACTAAAAACCGATAACAGTCTGGCGGTGTCGGCGTCGGTTGGCAGATTTGGGTTATAATTCTCAACGAAAACCGCGGGTGAAGTAACCAAGGTAAACTCGGTTCACCGAAAAACCGTCAAAATCCCTTTTCTCCCACTGCAAGCCAACCCCCACTCTCTTCCTCTTCCTCGTCAAAGACAACAAGATTTTCCCTCTCCTCTCGCCGGTCTCTCCCTTATTCTCCGTTCCCTTCTTCTCCCTCCTCCATCGCTAACCCGTATCGAAAAACAATAAGGCGCATTTGTCTCTCCCTCTCCCCTAGCCGCTCTCCGCCTCTCCGCCTCTCCCCCTTTCTTCCTTTCTCTGTATCCTCCAGATCCAAGGTCACAAAAGCGGCGATTTGGTTCTCCTTCGCCGATAAGAAAGCAGTGATAGTCGAGATTCAGCGAACAAAGGCCAAGAAGGAGAAGAGGGTCGTTGTTGGATTGCTCTAGTGAAGATCGATCGTCCATTGCCGTCTCCATCCCCTGCTTCCTCGTTGTCCGCCGTCGTCACCATGCCTTCCTCAGTGTTCGTCGCCGTCACTTGATAGAATAAAAGAAGACATGCAAGGGATGATTATCACCCCTACTTCTGTCGATTTGCCCTCCTAGCTCCTCACTGATGCTAATTCCCATCTCACTCCCAGTTCCATCCAAAAATTTGGCGATTCGGCGATGAGATTCGACAGTCGGATCCAGAAATCCGGCCAGATCCACCCCCTGCGTCGGTCTTCAGCTAAACGCGACACCGACCCGAAACCGTTGACAGCGGTTTTTGGCTAACCGACAAGGCAATAGGTGTCGGTGGCGGTTGAGGTTTTTGGATGATTGTCGATTGCGGTTCGGTTAAAACCGAAACCGCACTGCTAACAGCCCTATATAGAAGTGCGTTTGCTGGAATGTTGCGCCATTATCATTCTGAACAAGTAGTTTTCGACGCTTTCTTCGTCATATTTTGGACCCTCTCTTTCTTTTTGTTGTTTAAATATGTCGTCTTCGTGCATACATGGTTAATCATTTTTTTTTGCTAAATGGATTCATTTTAATCCCATTTGTTGATTTTTTTTCCAGGTGGAATTTTTGCTTTATATTCACTTCTTTGCAGGCATGGGAAGTTTTTGTTTGCTTCCTAATCAACAAGTCTCAGATGAGGAGCTTTCAACGTATCAGCATGCGGGTTACTCAAATAGAAGTGTGCATGCCTCTTCGTTCAAATAGGTCGTGGTCTCGCCAACAATCCGGATCCGATCACCGAGCGGCATGGTCGCTGCCGCGAATTGGGGTTTCTCATTTCTATTTGAACGACCATTCGCAGATGGACAATTTTCATCCATCCTACCTTTAGTACGCAAGGGTTCATCTGATGTCGCCACAGGGGGCAATCCCAGAACATCGCCCTCAACAGCATCCATCTCCATTGAAGACGGAAGCGTAAAGCGCCATACAGGCTTCTTCTCTACACGTTTTCGTTTGATTGAACCATCGAGCAAGGTCGGGTAGACTTCCATATTCCACTTACCACTCCTTATTTTGGATTGGCATTCTTGATTGGTTATGGTTCCATGGCCATGTATCGCCAAGGATCCGCATTGTCTGCGTGGATGCAAGGCAAAGGCGGCATTTTTGCAAAACCCGCCGCCTGGGAGCCCGGACGACGGCGCTCTGTTTACTGACTCCCATAGAGAAGACTAGTTGCGCGTTCGTCGTTCGTTGCTTAAGGCACACAGCCATAACCGCCGTCACAAGGGCGAGGAGGATTTCCTCGCACTTTCTCTAGAAGCCGAAGAGAGAAGCGAGAGCATCTCTCTCTTTTTTAGCTAACAGTTATACATATAATAGTATTTTACCCAGCATCCTTAGCTTGGTGAGCTTCTCGCATAGATCATTATATATGGCATACTTCCATTATCAGATTATGCATATTTTGTTATCTAACTGATATGCTGATTGATTCTCTATAAGAAACTAACACATACCCAACTTCAATCTTACAGGGATAGCATCAATGACTCTGATATTCATCACCACATCCCTAATCTCCTTATCCATCTACTTTGTATGGCACAAGGGTCTCGCTCTCGAACTTTCCTTCTTCGTCTTCTTCGAAACAATCGAGCTCACCTTCCTCTTTTCATACCACGTAAGAATCCTCCAGGGTGGATGGGTCCCACTTCTCTCTTCCATCTTCCTGTTCACCATGTTAGTGTGGCACTACGGTAGCAGAAAGAAGCACTTGTATGATTAAAACCACAAACTTCCGATGAAATGGACCCTCACCCTCGGTTCAGATCTCGACATTGTAAGAATCACTGGTTTAGGTCTCATCCACAATCACTTAGCAAACGGGTCCCCGCCACTTTCTCCCATTTCCAAACCAACTTACCAGCATTCTACCAAGTCATTGTCTTTGTCTGTGACAAACCATCCTTGTTCCTTTCGTCCCACAAAAGAAACGATACCTTGTGGGAAGGATATGCCCTAAATCCTACAGAATATACCGTTGCATCGTCCGAAATGGATACAAAGATGTTAATGAAAATGAGAACGAGTACGACTTCGAGAATGCTTTGATTATGAGCATTGCAGAGTTCATCCAGCTGGAAGCGGAAGGTGGAGGATGTAAAATCGTCTGAGAATTTCGGGAAGTGATTTGGGATCTCAAAGTCTAAAGGGTTTGAAGAAACAGCTCCTTGAACATAACCAGCAGCAAGTCAGCAACGCTGCTGAAGCTGAAGGCGATGTACGATGAGCAGGAATCACCGGAGGTGAAGTTCAGGCTAGGGTACAGCTGCAGCTGGTCGACACGAGGTACAAGGACTCGTTCGTGAAGGACGAAGTGATGAGACTGGTGGAAGCCAAGAAGTTTGGGGGGCGTATGTGATAGGGCATTCGAACAGCAAGGCCAAGTGGAACTCGCCATTCTGGAAGAACATTGTGTACTCGTTTTTGAGGAAGAACTGTCGTGCGCCTTCGATAGCTCTGACTCGCTAAAACACAACTCCTAACAATGGCCAAGTGTAACCAATGAAAGGGACTGCAGTATAGTGGCTCAAGTAATAAATATCGAATCCACGGGTCTCTAGAGTTACTATTACTCAGCTTCAGTTCGTTATCTAGCAAAACAGCTTAAGTTGAAAGAACTAAAACTACTCTAGCAAACTACAGTTAAAGTTAATCTAATTACAGGTTGGGAACTCACTTAGGTATGATTCCCCCTAGCCACTAGCCAGATTAACGATTGATGATCTCTAACTTGTTTCACTTTCATTCACAATGCGGAGAATCCTTGACTAGACCTTGAGTCTCGACTAAAGGAACAAGGCCCTCTTGAGTCAATTGCCTAGAGGGACGTATCCTTCTCTAGAACAACCAATCAAGGCGTTCTAGCTAGACTCCCTCTATCGAAAGAGGTTCTCAATCGATACAAAGCAGTGAATCAACCCTCGACTAAAGCAATCGATCCACTACTATCAATCTATGGTGCTCTATTGACCTAATCAGGTATTCGCTCTCATAGGATCAAAGCAGAATCAATAATCTCGACTAAAGCAGAATTGAATCGTGAAAACATGCATAGATTGAATATGAACTCAAGATTATCAAGTCAGAGTACTCATACAATCATCCAATCAAACAAACATAGCTAGGGTTCCTCAAAACCTAAGTGAAGGGAAGTTACTCCATAGAGAAGAGAGAGACTGCAGTAAGAATCTTCAGATGATCAGTCTTCAAGTCCGGGCTTGATTCCCGAGCTCCAATGGCGAAGAAATCCTCCAAAATAGCTCCAAGAATGTTCCCAAGTCGCTCTCTCTCTCTAGGGTTCGTCCCTTGGGTGTTTGGGATCCAAAACCCAGCTCTCTCTTGCAAAAACGCACAAAACCGGCTTTTATCAGCTGCCCTCGCGATACCCGGTCGAAATACCCGGTCGGGTATTTTGGGTCTCGACCGGGTATAATTGAAGCGCACCGTTTCGTCCTCAGGGAAAATCCCCGGTCTACCACCAAAATCCCCGACCGGGGATTTAAGGCCATCGCCCGGGCCCCCTTCTGCTTCTCACGGGTGCCAAAAACGATAAATACCCGGTCGGGTATTTTGCCAACCGACCGGGTATTTTCCTCCTGCAGCCCCCTTAGTCCCAACTCGGCTCCTTTCGACCCAGAACTCGTTTCTCCGCCTCGATTCCAACGCCGGGTCCTGAAATATGACATAAACACACAACCTAGCGTGAAATCGGCTTAAAACACGAGATTCCACATCACAAACGGCTTCAGAATAGGGGTGAAAACATGTGCAATTATCGGTCTATCAAACTCCCCCACACTTAACCGTTTGCTTGTCCCCAAGCAAACCAAGTCAGACACTAGGTAAGCTTAAATATTTCAATCAACCAACATTGGGGACAAGTCATAAAGGCACAAAACACGTGAATCGCACTGGTTTTCAAACATCAATACATGCACAACCTCAATAACAACCTGGACAACCACCACAAAGGACATTCGAGTGCAGCAAATCGAGTAAAGGAAGAGTCTCCCGTCTGTTCACTGGCCAACCTAGACTTGATTCAACCACTTACTCAAAACAGTCGACTCATGCATCCAACTCAAAACATCAGAATAGAGACCGAGCAATCTAGGTCCTCACCGGGGTACAAGAGCATATAGAAAATGGAAATGAATCACTCACTCTCGACCAGTGGGGTCAGGACAATTTTTGATGCGAAAGATGCGCATGCTATTTCTCTCAATCCCTATCATCTCTTCACCATGATGGCAGCCTCTAAATGCTAGAGTTCACATATGGGGTGTCACCACTAACTAATCAGGAGGTCTTAGACACAGGTTCAAATGACTGGCTAGGGTCTTGGACATGGGGAAAAGGCCTTTTAGGTGGTGGAAGTATTCATAGCAAAAAGGTTCCACATTTTCCAAACACACAATCACAGTCAAACAACCCGGTATCTTCTTTCTGCTATTCTGCATTACTCAATATCTTAAGAGCACAAGAGCGAAGGAGGCATAATCATCAGCATTTCCAAGCCAGACTGCTAAGAAACACTGCTTACTGGGCATTATTCAGATTTTTAGTAGTGGCTCTCTTTTGCTTTCACTTTTTTTCTTTGTTTTTCTTTCATTTTTCTTTTCATTTCTTAAGAGAGCCACCACTCCTGCACATATTTCAAACATCCGCCCAACTTTTAAGCACTACCTCCAACACTCACATAGACTTTAGCAGAAACAGCAGAGAATTTATAAAAAACCACATTGTGGAACCTTCTAAAAGATGCAACAAGGGTGATTTTTTCATTATAGACCACAAGAAAGGATAACACACGGCTCAAAGGGGCTGACTAGGGGATATGACACATCAGGACAGTCAGTTTTGGGCGTGGGCTAATCCTATGCCCCCATCATTTTAACTAGTGACAACGTGAATGCTACACATCATGGAAGAGGGATCTATCGCACAAGAAAGAAACGAGCCGGCTCAAATCTCACATGGCTACCTATATGCTCTATCTCACATTCTGATACCCTGAACTAGATGCATAAACGACTGTCAAGGACAAGTAATCAGATCAAGTCAGATCAAGTCACAGTTGGCAAGCAAACAGTTGAAAAACTGAACCCCTACATCGTTCTACTGCACATCTCAGTCCTCATCATAGGTTGTCCTAGTCGCAAACAAGTTGGCATGCATTAATTCAAAAACCAATCAACTCATCTATCAAAACACAGTGCCAATATGATCAAACAGCAGTACTTGGAGCCCTCAAATCGTAAGATTCGGACAGCGGACTAGGCTCCAAGCACCATCGTAATTATTCCAACCGATACAAAACATCCCCCCACACTTAAGCACGACATTGCCCTCAATGGAGTAGAGGGAGAGATAAGGGAAACGATGTTACCGGGTCAAGGGTGAATGATGGTGGACGAGGCAGGCGGTGCATTCCATGAGGAGAGAGTGGTCGAAACACAAACACCACACAAAATCTCACAAAGGTTGAGTTATGGACTCTAAAATCAAAGAACAAAACTGACTCAACCGAAGAGAAATAGGGAAAGAAATGCAAACCGACTGGTTGGGTTGCCTCCCAACAAGCGCTTCTTTCACGTCGTGAGCCAGACGATGGCTCCTAAGTTTCGGTCCATGCTAGAACCTCCTTGAAGTTGAGGTTCTCGTCGATGAGGTGGAGTCTCAAGTCACGAGCATGTGGTGCGGCAGGTGATGAAGGCTCGTGTACTTGATGCAGATGAAATCTCCACCCTCGAGACCTCTTCTTCTCTTCTCTCGTCTCATTGCCCCAAACCAGATAAGACAGCATCGATTGGCCACCATCGCGTCCACCAAGAGGGACCGATGTCGAAGTGGCCTTGGTCTGGCAAAGAGACACTGCAAATGGGTCCTTGCTAAGTAGTTCCTCAAAGTTTGGTGGAGATATCACATGCAACTCATGGCCGATGCAGGCCTCTTCCACCTCAACTTCGCCCTCAGCCTGGACGCCAATTGCTTCTTCAACCTCCCTTTCTTCTTCATGTGGTATCACCCCTGGGAAATGATCAAGAACTCCTTCTGCTTCACTTTCGTCATCCTCCACAACTTCTTTTTGCACCCTTTCTCGCTCTTCTTCTTCTAACACGGATTGGAGAGCAAGTTGCCAAGCAATTTCTTTCATGAGATCTTCTTGCATCTCCTCACTCATGCCCACCTCTTCAAAGCTCAGTGTGGGATGTGGGAAAGGGTGGTCGGCTACGACAGGACATTCCTGATCATGATCATCCCGGGAGCTCTCCGTGACAACTTCTGTGTGCTCCACAATGTCCTTGTAGCCTTCTTCTTTCTCGTCCTCTTCTAGTATGGTAGCAGACGGGTGATCTTGAGCAAGTTGTGCACAAACTTGCTCAACCCACTCTGTTTGCTTCGCTGAGCGTTGAACAGCCTCCTCCATGTCACGGAGATATGAGGGATCGGAAGAGGGAAGGGCTTGGATTTGATGATCCATCTCGTACCGAACGCACTGCTCCAAGAGAAGCTTCAGTTCATAGAGTGGATCTGGCTGTGGAGTGTAGCCTGGCTCTGCAGAATGGCCCGTGAAGGCCGCCATGGGTAACTCCAGCGCTGATGGCCCTTCTGGTTGTGGGAGAAAGTCTT